GACTCCTCCCTCCCCATCAGCTCTCACAAATCTCTCCTAGCCCATCTATCTCATGAGGGTGGTGATAAGAAAGGGCCTGATGTTGGCCAAATCTTTTTCCTCCGGAGGGCTGATCCCAGTGGAGAGCGTCTCTTTCTGGGGATCACTTTTGTCTTCAACAAGGATTATTTCACATGCCACACTCCACTCTGGCTCCCCACATCACCGTCTTCGGCTCCCGGGACCTGGGGCATCCTTGTTCTCTGCAGTGCCTGGTTGCTCTGCCCAGGGAAGAAGAGGAAGATCAAAGGAACAAAAATATTAATAAAGTCTGTTCTTTAGAAGGTTTAAAAGGAGCAAAGGGGACAAATTGCAGCAGCGACTGTAGACAGGGCTGGGCAGGAGGAAAAAATTTACTGGCCTGAGGCATTCAAGAGGAAAAAATGAGGGAAGGAGAGAGGAACTGGACCAGAGCAGAGGGTACAAAAAGCACCTCTGGTCTGTAACAGGTGCACAGGTAGCAGAGTCTGATAGAGGGGGATCCTAAACAACACAATTTGCTTTCGGGGGTCTGATTTGTCCTCTGTACCCCCAAGGAAGTCTCACCTGAGTTCAGACTTACTTACTGACAAAATGAGGCATACAAATGTAAAGGTGTCACAGCACAGCATCACTGGAAAGCTGCTTCCTTTCTTATCCCTTCCCTGCCATCAGTGGTGGATATAGGGCAGGGCGAGCGGAGTGGCTGCCCCAGGCCCTGCGTTTCAATAGGCCCTGCGCCAGCGCCAGGGGCGGACTGGCCCGGCGGGATACCGGGAATTTCCCAGTGGGCTGTCGTCCAGTGGGCTGTTGTGTCTGCCCACCGTTGTCCCTTGCTCTGAGCGGCTCCGCGTCCGCCACCTGCGCCAATCAGAAGCAAACTGGCATATCACAATGCTTTATTTTCAGTACTGTATATATACTGAAACGCCGCCCAACAGCTGAGAGGGGAGACTCCGGGGCATAGCGTGGCGTGATGCCATGGCCCGGGACTTTAAAACCGCGCAGCCCAGCATTGCACTGCACAGTTCTGCATGTGGCCTGGAGCCTGGGCCATGGCCACGGCCGCCCTGCACACTGGAAGGCAGAAGGTGGATGGCAGAGGAAGGGGCTTGTGCTGAGGGGAGAGGGAGCAGGTCAGGAGAAGAAAGGGGAGGAGAGAAAAATGCCAGGGGGCCAAGTGGAGACAATGAAGAAAAGGGCAGAAGGGAAGGTATTAGTGGGAGGGGGACACGGTGATGCTGGGAGAGGAGAGGGTAAGGGCATTCCGGGCTAAAGGGGGGAGGGGGAGGAGGTGCTGGGAGAAGGCTTGAAAGGAGGGGTGGGCGTGAGGAAGGCGGGGATGGAGGAA